TCGTAAATCTGCTGATGCCATCGTTTGCCTGTCTCTGTTAGCTGCCGGTCTACGATTGGCCAGCGAAACCTCCGCTCCTGCACGAGCTCGCGGTGGAAGGGGTGGAGCGCTCTCGTGCGCTCCTCCCGAACTTGTACCACGTCGACGCGGTGCTGGAACCGAGGTCCCGATGGGCGGCGCGACCCCGGGGCGCCGCCTTCCCCAGTCACTGGAACGATCCGTGTGTGAATCCTGCTCACGCTGGCCAGTCCTCGCGAGTACCATCTGCTGGAATGGCGACCTCACGAACCGCAAGATGCCAGCGAGAACCCCTCGTTGGTTCTCCCTCGCCTCACCGCCCGCCGGCCGATGAGAAGCATTTCGGCGACCCAAAGCAATTCCGTGTCGAGGCCGCTGCGGCGAAATACGCGTGCTCGGAGAAAAGGACACTCGAGGCCGCTGCTGAGGTCGGTCCGGAACACCCCCATCGAGCGACGCTGACCTCCTCCTCCTCCGGAGGATACCTGACAGCTCGGCTGTACCCTCAGCGCGTCGAGGTGAAGGCGAGAGATGTCGGGGTCGCGACCGGGGCCGCGAGGACGCGGACCCGGAGGACCCTGAGCGTCGTCGGCTTGATCCTGTCATGCGCGGCGGGGATGCGCTCGACATGTGTGGTCCGCTGGCCAACTGTCGCGTAGAAGCCCCTGTGTCTTCCCCTGCTGTGCCCCTGCCGACGTTTCCGGCCCTATCGGCCGTCTCTAATGCCGACTCCTGTTGCAACCCCCCCACCCGGCAAAGTGCTCGACATCCGTCGTCCTCTCGCGTGGCAAGCTGCCACGCTGGAACAGTTCGATGCAGGCCCCGCCCTGCCGACTGAGAGCCCTGAGGCAAAGACCTCTCGGTGGCGCAGCTTCCGTTGTTTGCACGTCCGGCAAGCTGCCACGCCGGGACAGTCCGATGCAGGCCCCTCCCCGCCGATTGAGAGCTTGGAGGTAAAGACCTCTCGGCGGGTGCCATAACCAAGCCCCGCAAACAGGAGGGGCTATATTCTTAAGTGCGGGCTGGTTCTGTAGCTCAAAACCACACATGAGTACTACCGCAGTAGCCTTCGTAAGGATGNCCTTGAGGGTGAGTCTAGCCCTGCTCGCCAGAAAGACCCCCCCCTTCACTACAACCCATGTCTAAGCAAAAGCTTGTCGAGGAGCGAGGGGAAGAAGGGAGAAGCGGGTATACCCGGGTGGATTATCACCACTTCAGGGTACACTTGGAAATCAACACGACACCAATCTCCGACAGCATCCGCCGTAGATCGCGGCGAAACCAATACACCGCTGTCTGTGTGGTCTGTGTCCTAAAGTGGTGATAAAGTACCCGGGTATACCCGTTTCTGGCTATTGGTCTTTTTTTACACCGTCAAGAAAACATGTCATCGCGCTTCGTAGCGTTGTATGGATAGATATGGTCCGTTTCCGGAAAAATTCACAATATATAAATTTTTCCCCTGCACAAAGGTGCACTTTTCTCGGGGTGGGGGTATACTTATTCCGAAATCTGAAAATACCGCGTAAATCGACGTTTCAAGGCGCATCTTCGTACGGAGAGTTTTTTTTTTTTTTCGTCCTTCGCTCGATATGTTCAGATATTCAAGAAATCTTGCTTACTTTCTGGAGGGCGGTGTTTTTTGCAGACACAAAATCTGAGACCGGATTTGGACAGCTCTCGTGATTTGCCACCGATGATTTTTTTCCGATTTCCAATTTGACAAAAAATAACGGAGTTATGGGCAAAAAAACGGATATTGGAGGGTATTTTGCTTAGTTTCTTGGGGACAATCCAACCGTACGATTCAAAAATAAAGTGCTGCAATCGATTCCTCTCGTGATTTCCCACCGATAATTTTTTTCCGATTCCAAAAAAAAACTCGGGAATCGGACATATTTCGGGTGGTTTCATCACACGCCCTCGGGGAATTTTTTCCCGCCACACACACACCAGAGGACACACACACACACAC